GTAACGGAAGAAATGGTAAAAACTTGTATATAGATATACATACAGTACCAACAGAATCAATGGATTCTGGTCCAGTGAAGGCTCAAATTTACCCTCCAATTGCCTTCACAATTGGCATCCAGTGAAGGGCTTTTTTGACTTTCACCTTGACCCACTACTTAGATGGAGAGTGAGATAAGATTAGAGAATAAAGAAACAGTCCCATAGAAAATATGGCAGAAAAACGAAAAAAAAAAAAGGAATGAATGAAAACAATTGGAGGGCCCTTCTCTGTTTCTCTTTTCTTCCTTTCTTTTTTTTTTCTTGGGCAAAAGCATTTGGCATCCAATGAAGGGCTTTTGAATTGCACCATGATCCTCCATTACCTTAGGAATTAGAATGGAGGGTGAGATGAGAGTAAAGAATAAAAGAAATGGAGAATATGGAAAAAAGAAAAAGAAAGAACGAAATATGATAGAGAGAGATGAGAGTAAAGAATAAAGAAAGAAACATAAGAACGTGGCAAAGAAAAATAAGAAAATGGAGAGTGGTTCATAGAAAGTGCCAGCTTTGCCTTCCATTTGCTTTCTCAATTGGCATCTAATGAAAAAGGATTTGGTCAGCGGCACCCACCATCTTATAAAGAGTGGATGAGAGTAAAGAATACATAAGGAAATGGAGAATATGGGCCCAAAAAAATGAGGAAAGAAATGGAGGGTTGTTGAACACACTCAACACAGTACTAAATTTGCCCTCCAATTGCTCTCCCAATTGGCATCCGATGATAAACAATGCCATTCCAACGATACAAACAAAATATACCCAACTGGAATTAACATTCACCATGTGCCTTTGTTACCTGGAATGGGAATTCCAACAGTGGGACTAGCAAAGGTTTTAATAATACCATACCATGTAAATGGCAAAAGCTGCTTGAATCAAATAATAAATCCAGTATACAATTTGGTTACATTTCTGAACCACATCATGCTTTGCTCCTGGAGTTTGACACTTTGCATGATACTTCATGGATATATGCCCATGAAAAGATGGTTGACTGGACACCTACTGCCCCATGTTAGGAGGTAGCGGATGTGGCATCTATTGACAAGGAAAACCTTGAGGAGCAATTGTTAGAGGCCTAGCAGTGAAATTTGCCATTATGCCTCTACCTCCAAGGGGTAAGGGTGGAGACGCTTCCATGAGGCATTGGCCTAGAACCATTTCCCATAAGAGGAGGCGGCGGTAGGGAGCCAGAAACTTGAGGTGGGGCTCTAGGAGGATTTGGCAACCCTTGTAGTGGAGGTGGCAGTGGTGAAGCATGGAGCAGTGGGGGGTAAAGGTCTAGGAGGGGCACCAGGAGCTGCTGTTATATTAGTTGCTGGGGTGGTCTGAGGTTTATTTGCCTCTGGAGGTTTGACTTTGAAATACATCTGCAGCTGCAAGTGGATGAAGACCAAACAACAGTCAGATAACATGAACAAAAATTTCAAGAATCAATCCCTAAGGGTTGTCCCAAAGGTTAAGAACATGATTCTTCATGCAAGAAGTGTCAAGTTAAAACATTGGGTGGGTGGGTAGGAAATTAGGAATCTGGAAAGGGGAGTGACATCCCATATTATACAGCTATGTACCAAAAAATAATTAAAGAATCAGTGTTCCTTAGACCAACCCAGTGACAAATGATTGGGAGTTCAAACCAAAGTTGAAAACAGAAAGTAAATATGCTCTAGCTTCTAGGTATAGCAGGCAGGAACACAACATGTTTGGT